GAAATTTGTATTACATTTTCCTGACTCTGTGTGTGTGTGTGTGTGTGTGTGTGTGTGTGTGTGTGTGTCTGTCTGTCTGTGGCATGTGGAAGTCAGAAAAACAACTATCCAGAGTCAGTTCGGCCTCCCACCATGAGAGTCCCAGCATGGCAATGAGAGCCTGCATGCACTGGCTCACCACACCTACCTAAGCAGTAGTTTATAGCACTGGTTAGCTGTCCTTAAGACTAGATGTTTTGGGCCGGGATAGGGGAGGCTGCATGGATCTTGAGGAGTTTGGCTTTGAATATTTGATTAAGATGTCACAAGTCTCTGGGCCAGATTCCAAGAGCTCAAAGTCTGTTGGTAAAGTGTGAGGGTTTTTGCTTTTATTTTGGCTTTTTGGCTGTTGCTTCCAGAGGAAGTTGCTGGGGCAGTCTCTGGAGAAGTTTCTCAGCAGTCTCTACTCTGGAGCTGCAGAGTTGCTGTCTACATTCTACAGGGTTGTTTGCCAACAGGCATGTAAGAGGAGCCAGTCCCAGCAATGCCGAAACCAGTTGTCCCTGCAGAACACTGGTGTGAAAAACATTCCTGCAGCCTCCTGCCCACAGAACCTGCCCCCCCAGATGTCCATCATAATTCTGTCAAGTCCTTTAGAACTGACATTCCTGAGCCCTGAAAACTGTGAGTGAACATTGCTCAAATTCCACGGGAGTCAGTCTCTGAAGCTGTCTGTCACACTTACAATGTCTCAGGTCTATAGCACCACCTGGTGGTAAAATACCTGGTAAAATTTTTACAGGTAAAAATACCTGTTGAGGAAAAGGTTTGGACAGGTGTCCAGCTACATCTTTCTTTTTTTAAATAAAAAATTCAATTGAAGAAAAATTCTCCTATAAAATGGCTATAAACAAATATGTGATTACATTTAAAGTTACAAAGTAAGTCAAGATGTTAAAATGATGTCTTGCAGGGGCTTGCGAGGCAAGTCAGTAGTTAAGCACACTTGCTGCTCTTGCAGAGGACCCAACTTTGGTTCCTAGTTAGACATTCCACCCACATGGCAATGTATCTATACACCATCTATACACCATCTATAATTCCAGTTCCAGGGGATCCAATGCCCTCTTCATGTCTTCATGTACACCAGGCTCCTTTAAAAAAAAATGGCACTTTGCACAGCACCCCTGGCAAACCTAAGATTCTAAACTGTTAAGCAGGACAGAGAGGTGGCCTTGTGGCCTGGGAGCACTTGTAGAGGTCTCAGATGTGGCGCTCGCACCCACGATAGCTCCAATTCAGGGAGCTGTGATGGCCACTTCAGGATCTGAGGGTACCAGACATGTACATGATACACACACATACATACACACAAACGTACACAAATAAACTAACTACAAAACAACTACTAAAACAAAGATGTTTTATTTTACCAAACGTCCTCTGCCGTATTCAAATTACCCCTAGGTATTTGAACATACAGAATCTGTGGGTGTATGAGTTTGTAGAGACCAGAGGAGAGCCTTGAGGGTCTTCCTCTATTGCTTTCTCCCTTCGTTTTTTGAGACAGGATCTCACACCACTGAAGCTTGCCATTTCAGCTAGACTGGCTGGCCGGAGAGCCCTCAATACATACCTGTATCTACCTCCAAGTTTGGGAGTTACAGGCAGGCATGGCTCTCTCTGGCTTTTTACCTGGGTGTAGGGGATTTGAACTCAGATCCTCTTACTTTTACAGCCAGTTCATTTATACACTGAGCTATCTCACCAGCCCGATAGTATTGTGTTTAAACTCAGATAATTTTATTAAGTACCTATATATCCATGCTCGTGTAGACACCTGATGGAATGAATAATTGAATTCTTTACTAAATGTTTCCTAGTAATAAAAACAAAAGGATTTGGAGCAATGACATTTACCAGTAAAACAACAGTGCAATAATACAGACTAGATTCTCTTATGAAACTAAAATCAGCACAAACGTATGAAAGGAATGGGGTCTTTGCATATCCCCGAGGTGATCCATCTAATACTTGTTAATTACAAGTGCAAAGATGGTAACTGAATGACAGACAAGTCACCAGCCCCATGCAAATGGAGTCACTAGATCAGGGCAGATCAGCGGAGGGCATGTGGTCATACTACTTCTGTGACATTCCTACCTAAAGCATATTCCCTCAAGAAAGTGATTAGAAATTACATAAGCACAAAATTCATATTTGGTCATCATCAGGAAATTCCTAGATGAAACTAGACATGACAAGGAGGTGTGGTGTGACGCTGGTGTGGAAAGAGCATTTCAGTGGGGAAATGGGATAGCCCAGGAGAATCTGCAATTTACACGATAGTACCGTGCCGACCTTGGCTTCCATAATTGTGTTGTGCTTATATAAGAGGCTTGCTGGCTGGTACTTGAGTGAGAATTTTCTGTTTCAGCAATGTAATCTATCTCTCCATCCACACACAGGGTGCCATCGATGCTAGAGAAGAGATGGTTTCTGATTACAATGCAGTAATGCTGGAAATGACCAAACGACAGAACAAAAATCCCCCAAACCAAACCAAAAACACCTGTCTCAGATGGTACTTTTGAGTAAAGTGGAAATACAGGCAAAAGGAAACCCGGAAGGAGAGTGCGAGGATGTCCTCTGACCTCTGGCTTCTGGATGCTGTGTGAATTAGAAAAAAGCAACCCATAAACAGAATGCAAGCCAGGTTCTACTGAATAGAGCCTACAGAGGCCATGACATTGTGCCTGATTGCCCAGAGATGAGCAGGAAGCTCAAAGAAACTATGGCCAGTGTTGATAGCCATAGAAGGAAAAATAAATATAAATTTCTCTTCTCTACAGGGGAAACATAAGTGTGGATTTTCCTTTGAAATCAACATGAAAGCTGATAACTTTTATAACAAGAGTCTTAAAAAAAAAAAGTTCTCTGAACTTAATTTTTTGTTTTTTTGTTTTTTTCAAGACAGGGTTTCTCTGTGTAGCCTTGGCTGTCCTGGAACTCACTCTGTACACCAGGCTAGCCACGAACTCAGAAATTTGCCTGCCTCTGAACTTAATAGTCTAAAGATCCTGATGCTAAGATTCAAGGACAAGAATATAATAGGCTTCAAATTATTTCATTTCTTAAGGATGTTTCAGTGTGAATGTGTGTGTGTTTGAACATGTGTGGATGGTATGTTTATGTATGGTGCACATGTTCATTAAGTGTGTAAGGTCAGAAGAGGACATGCTGTATCTGATTAACTACGTTCTACCTTATTCCTTTGAGTCAGGGTCTCTCAATAATCTTAGGTAGCCACTGAACCCCAGCAGTCCCATAAGCACACACAACTGTGCCAGGAATACGTCAGAACCAGTACTTGAACTCAGGTCCTTTAAGCTTCCGAGCAGCTGCTCTTAACCACGGAGTCATCCCCCCAAGTCCCAGATTATTCTGTTTTTAAAAAATATAGCTCCTGACTGGACTGAGTTGTTTCAAATGCTTTAGGTACATTGTCATTTTAGCCAGGTTCTATGAGAAATCCCCAAGCTTTATGTCACTGACTGGAAGAGTAATAAATACATTCAGAAATCCTATCTTAAAGGTGCCATATTTTAAAAAGACTCCCAATTGGAGGCCTGTGGATACAGTTTGGAGGTAGACACACACCACATACACATACACACACACACGCACACACACACACACACACAGAGAGAGAGAGAGAGAGAGAGAGAGAGAGAGAGAGAGAGAGAGAGAGCTAATTTATAACTGTGCTGTTGACTTATGCCAATAGCCTGTTACCATTCAGTAGAACATTTTTGAATGAAAGGATTTCTGACATTAGTGTCCTAAAATCACTAAAGATAGAGCACCTTGCGGAGATCTGCTTTGTATCCTGTCTTAGTCAGTGTTCTACTGCTGTGAAGAGACAACATGACCATGGCAACTCTTACAAAGGAAAGCATTTACTGGGGGCTGGCTTACAGTTTCAGTGGTTTAGTCCATTGTTAACACTGCAGGAAGCATGGTGACATGCAGGCAGAGAAGGTGCAGGAGAAGGAGGGAGCTTAGAGTTCTACATCTGGATGTACAGGCAGCAGGAAGAGAAGTCTACTCTGGGCTTGGAACGGACTTTCTGAAACCTCAAAGCCCACCCCTAGGTGATACACTTCCTCCAACAAGGCCATACTTCCTAATTCTTACAGATAGTGAGGCTCCTTGCCGACCAAGTACTCAAATCAATGAGTCTTGGAGGCCTGTGTCCTTCCCCCGGCCTTGAGCAGGCCTGAAAGACCTTGTTTACAACAGACCAAGTGATAGGATCTAGGTGGAGTTACCCACTTTGGCTGCAGGGAACTTAGAAGAACTGCCCCTGGGCTTGCCTTGAAAGGCAGTGACTGTGACCATCTCCAGTTTAAACCAGTAGGGGTTTTGGTGAGGCCTTCCCTTTAAATTGAGAGCTCGGATTATCCCATCTCCAGCTTAAACCAGTAGGGGTTTTGGTGAGGCCTTCCCTTTAAATTGAGAGCTCGACATTAAAGCATTGAGCCTTTGATCAGAATACTTGTCTTGACTTCATCTCTTCTCGCCCTCCATCCCCCCCTTTCATTCCCAGCCCCCCTTTCAGGTAAACCCAGAGGATCTGTGGCCACAGGCGGTACAGAGGCCATTCTCAGGGAAACCTCCACACGTTCCTAACTCTTTTACAACATCTACCCTTCTATAAAAGAGTTCTCAGCCTGGTGGGCTTTCTCTCAACTATATACACCCTTAAGTGGAACACAGTGGTTGTAGTTGGCTCTGCGTGGTGTGTTGTGTGGTGTGGTGAGGTTGAGGGTGGGAGGGTTAGGTAGGAAATCACTGTGGCGCTCTTAGAATGAAGAGCCTAGTAGAGAAGAGAGGGGTAGATGTGAGGAGAGGTCTGTTGGAGGAGTAAGGTTGGCTGTGGTGTCTGAGTTGTTGACAGGAGTTTAAGGGACTTCCATTGTGATGTAAAGGAAACAGAATCTGTTGCCCCAGAGGGCAATGACAGAATAAAGACCTAGCTTCTGAGGCCTTGGAAAAAATACCAGAAGCCTAGCAGAAGGGAGATGGAGCTCCAGCTCCTGGTCCCCCTTCCCAACTCCTCCCCCTGGGCTGTCTGAGATGTAACCTTCTACCTGAACACCATCTCCCTGGTCTCAGTCCTTAACTCTGGTCCATAACGCCTGCTTGGTTCCATCTCCTCCACTGACTCACAGGAGACTGCCATCTGTCCTTCCTGGAATCACTAAGGTTTTCTGCTTTTCTCAGGTCCCAATGGCGGACACTGACAGCTCAGCTGAGATGCTCACTCGGTCTCCATCTCCTAACCCTAGTCCTGGTGCTAAGCAAGAACCACCGAACTCTGGGATCACCATTTCCCTCCTTGAAATCGGATCACTCCCCACTTTCTGCTACAGCTCCTTCCCGCCACCAAAGAATAGTATCTGCCCGGTAGGAAAACGAGGGAAGGTACAGAAATTTAGCAATCTCTTAAAAGACGTTAAAGATGTTCTTAAAAACATAGCAGGCTTTGAAGAGAAGACTACAGTTGGGGAGCCTTTTGAGGATGCCTATACTCCTGAAGACCTGTCAGAATTTAACGTCAGAGGTGTTGATAAGAGAAATAAAATACGATTTAAAGATGATCTATTCATTAATTTCGACCCAGAGAGAGAACAGGACACAACGAAGCAGGGGATGTTATTGAAAAACCAGAGTACTAAGAACATGGTACCAAAGTTTGCAAGGGATCTGTGCAATTCAGAAGAAAAGAGATGCTGTGATGGTGTCCAGCTGAGCGTGAAGAAACGGCGGAATGGGTCCCTTCACCTTTGTGGAGAATACAGGAAACTCAGGAACAACATGGAGCAGTTACTGCAGGAAGCAGACCACTGGAGTAGACAGCACAATGAGCTCAGTGAACTGATGAGGTCATATCAGGAATGCCAGAAAGACATCAAAGAACCGATTGACAACGATCAAGCCTGTTCGCAAACCAACAAGGAACCAATCACCAAGCAGAAGCTGGAGGCGCAGGTGAAGAAGCTGAGCCATGACACCCACTCGCTGCATTTAATCGCAGCCCTGCTAGAGAATGAATGTCAGATCCTACAACAGAGGGTCGATATCCTCAGGGAGTTTCATCTCCACGAAGCGGCACCGGGGCAGGAGAAGCCTTTGCAGATGTCCGGTGAGCAGGACAAGAAATGTCTGAAGTTAGCAGAAGCAGACAAGACAGACGCTTCCAAGCATACCCCGAAGACAACGGAGGGCACGATTACTAGGAAACCAAAGATCTTCAGGAGCCCAGATGATTGCCTTACTAAGAAGGCTCGGAATAACCGCTTCAACGCCCGTGTTGCAAAGAAATCTCTGGTGGGGAAAAGGAGAACCGTTAGCAGCTTTCGGTAGAAGCCACCAGAAGCAGATCCAACTTGAGCCAAAACTGTCATCAACCCAGGGTAGATCTGATTCCACCAAGGAGGAGGCATAGGAACCCATATAATCTCGGTAGTTAGAGACTTTTGGGCCTTAACAACCATTGTATGATTGTTAACCAAGGAAAAATTTGAATAAAAACAAGAATAAAAGGAAAGTGCTTTGTTTGATTGATTGTTTTCTTCTAATTTCTTTAACCATACCTGGGGGATGGGAGGTTCTAGAGGGGAACTACTCACAATGTAATACTTTAAAGCTTGTTTTCAAATTAGTGTTTAGTTTCATATTCTGTTTGTATAGAATACGTTGGAGTTAAGGAAGAAAAATAACTAAGAAAAGGAAAACGACAGTGCTAAAGCACCCTAGGCAGCTTTCTTCTCTTCTAACTCCAGCTCTACTCTCCCCGGTGTTCTGCTTCTGGCCCTCAGCTCGCACATGAGGGTGGGTACACCGGGGAGCCAGAAAAACAAAAGCCTCTGGGGAAGGGCATCATAACTTGAACAGAGCATAGAGGTGTTTCTGGATTCTTCATTTTTGGTGCAAAAATTCTTCCAAGTGGAGTGAGTGAGTAGGCTTTCTGAAGTGGGGTGGCTGGGGTGTGTGTGTGGGGGTGGCGGGCTGTAGAAACGAACCCTCTAAGGGAGCTAGACTGGAGTGCCAGAATAGACAGCGCAGGCATGTTTTCTCACTTCTCACTGAGCAAAAGCTCCTGACATCATGTGCAGAGCAAACGGAAGACTGATGGTGGAGGGGCCAAAGCCTCCAGTTCCTGGGCTCTTGTATATTTTAAAGAGATGTCAGAGAGTTTGTCGAGCAGAAAGAGTAGCACAGCACAAAAAGCCCTTAGAAAGCATACTCCTGGAGAGTGTAGTGCAATAGAGATGGCTGACAAAACCTATCCAGATACAGACAAATTGCATGAAAATACCATGTCTCTGCTCCCCCATGACATCAGCACAGACTGAGTGGGAAGCCTAGGCTGCAGCCTTGCCCCATGACAGTGAGCACAATCAGGTGGATTATATAAAACAGGAAAGATCTTATCGTGTCCCGGCCCAAGCTGCTGCTCCGGTCAGCGGGTCAGGGTCTAGCAAGAGAGAGAGAGTAGGGATGGAGGGGCAAGAGGCACGAAGAACGGAGAAAAGACAGAGAGACTGACCAAGTCCCCTTTATTGAAAGGAAATCCTGGGTATTTATACGCTTTTCCATCTGCTTACAGCGTGGATACCATGTGGGCCTTGCAGCTGGGGGCACTAAGCAGCAAAACGAGATGTGAGAAAACCAAGATGTTTATCAGAGTGTGCTCAGCTGTTGTGGGCTGTTGAAAACAAGTCTCTTGTCTGGATATATGGCCTGAGATGGCTGTAAAGACGATAGCCGATTTCTGATAGGAGTCGGTGTTAGACTTCGGCATGCAGCTTGGAACAGACAACACCAAACCAAATGGTTCCAAAGTGGAGGGGGTTTATTCAGGACAGAGGGCAAAGGTGGGAGGAGAGAAATGGGAGAAGATGGTGGAGAAAGAGGAGAGAGGAGAGAAGTGGAGGGCGGCCATGACCACGTGGAGAGAGGGGGAAGGGAAGGGGGGGAGAGGTGAGGGGACAGAAAGAAGCTAGAGGCAAGAGAGCAAGAGAGTAAGAGAGAGAGGAGGAGGCAAGCAGCCCCTTTTATAGTGGGAAGGCCTACCTGGCTGTTGCCAGGTAACTGTGGGGAGGAGCATACCTGGGTGTTGCCAGATAACTGTGAAGGTGGAGTTTAGACAGAATACTAACAGTTGGCTCCCAACATTATAGGGCCAAGGAGCTCTGGAAGGTAAATACACCATAGATGCACTGAGAATGAAAGAGGTCTACTTTACTGGGCTGCGTGTTAATACACCACCCTGGAGTAAACGTGGAACTTTGGGTGACAGCTCTGGGATTTCAGGCTGGAGACACTTGGCTTATTTGGCTGCTGGAGAAATTTGTCTATGTTCTAGAAAGGTTTTGTACATAGGGAAGAGGGGTTGATAAAGTAGAAAAAAAAAAAAGCAGACTATTTCCTGGTCCCTTTCCTGGTAAATCTCTGAAACAGACACAATAGAAAAGTAATTTATTGGTTAGCTTCAGATTGCTTTCTTTGGTAAGGATGAAAGCAGACAGATATTATCTTGCTGTTTGAAATTGGTCTGTTGGGGAAATTGATTACCATTCTTTTCTGTTTATTTTTATTATTGAGAATTTCATATATATATATATACATACATACATGTATATAATATATACATATGCATAACTATATATGTATATATTATACATAATGTTATATTTTACATATATTTACATATTATATGCATATACATACTATATATTATATATACATATGTATACACACACACACATATATATATGTGTGTGTATATATATACATATAATTTTGGTCATTTCTACCCCATCACCCTCTCTAGCCTGTCCCACTTCCTGCAGAATCCTTTCTTTCCAGCAAGTCCCCTCCTGCTTTGTTTCTGTGACACTGAGTTTAGTCAGGGTTGCTTGCACAAGCTCAGGTAGCACGGACGATTCAGGTGATTTAGTAATGCTACATCACTGAGGAAAATGACTCCCTTTCCCTCAGGAACCATTTCTTGGCAATAGCTCCTCTGAGAGGACTGCTAGACAGCCAGTAACAAAACAAAACAAAACAAACAAACAAACAAACAAAACAAAACCAAAACACATTTTTATGTAGTCTTGCTTACCACAGCTGAATTTTAAGTATTTCTTATAAATTTTGTTTTTGATTGAAAAAGTGCATTCAATATATTCTGATCACATTTTATACCTCTCATAACTCCTTTCAGACAACCCACCTCAACTTATTCTTTCTCTCTCTCTCTCTCTCTCTCTCTCTCTCTCTCTCTCTCTCTTCTTTCTTGAAACCAAACAAGCAAAACCCAAGACATATAACCCCACACACAAAAACAAGAATGGAAACTAAAAAATACAAGCAAAACAGACAGGAGAGAGAGAGAGAGAGAGAGAGAGAGAGAGAGAGAGAGAGAGAGAG